TAAAAAGAAGGGGGAGGAGGGAGGTGCCTGCTAATCTTACACACAGACTCATTAACCCGTTACCCTATTCTTCCTCTCCTCATCTGATCTAAAAATACTCCAACTCCCACTACTCTTGAGTGGCATCAATGACTATAGTATGCAACAGCCCAAACACAGAAAAAGGTATTAAATAAGTTATTAAGCTGGTATCTCTGTCTTTATCTATAGATTACAATAAACAGATTAGTTATATGCCTTAGAAAAACAACATTCTAACAGTAATACTCCATATTTAAATTTGAGATATATTTGCATACCTTCTGCCACATAATGACACACAGTCACATTTATACACACAATACATACCAACTGCAGTATTCATCATATCATGACATATTTCTGTAAGGTATATCATTATATAACATTTTCTACTCATGTTTCCTTACATGCTTTTAATCATCTTATTATACTTAATTCATTGTCACATGTTTTAGAATCAAAAGGGCCCCTTTATATAGTGGGCTTTTCCCTTAGAATTGTTGTTTTGAACTTTTTTTTATTATTGCATATATGCAAGCCATTTTGGCTACACAGGGCTTTAATCCTGTAAATATATGCTCTCTAGAACTTAATATGTTAAAGGATCCTTTTAGTGGTCATGAATTTGCATTTTTCCAGATTAAATTTTGCCTATTTAAATACAAAATTCTTAAAATGCTACATTTAGTTTCATGAGATAAACTGGGAAGCATCAATTAAACTGCTTTCCTTGTTTCAACCTCATCTTTTACAAATAACCCACTGCTGCATCACCCTTTGAGAAATGGTGGACAAAATTTTCAGTTTAAGACTTGCTTCTCATATTGCATATACATCAAACAAAATTCTTCTTCAATGATGTGACAGCCACATCATAAACCATATACACATTGTTTACCATGACACACAGAACTAGCTTTTCCCTGTACCATTCTGCACCTTTTTAGACACTCAAAAGTTTTAATCAGGGGGGGGGAGGGGAGGTGGCTTACCAGCAAACAGACTAGACGCATGAATCTGGAGCTCAGGCCAGAAAATAAAAAAACTATCACCAATACGAATGCTGAGACACCACAACAAGAGCCAAGAACACGCTTCCACCCCAAAGACCAACATGGGGCAAAAAATAAAAAATTCCGTCCACCGGAGACGCACAAACAGGCTGAGATCAAACTATCGTTCAAGAGGTCTACACTACCGACGGCATCCAAAATGGCACCGGAGGCACACAGATAAGAGGAGGCCTCAGAGGACTCTCACGACGAAGATGAGAGCCTCTTTTCAGCTCAGGCGGAGGCATAACGGGATTCAGGTTCAGAAGAAGACTCAGCCCCGGTGACAAAAAGAGATATAAGGGACCTACTCCAGGAGATGAGAGAAGTCTGGAAAGCAGATATCAGGGAGACACAGCAGGAGGTGGGGGCCCTTAAGACATGAGTCAAAGAGGTGGAAAATAGAGAATCAAAAAGTCACTGCAACCTGCATGCTACCCAAGACCACGTACAGAGCCTCAAGAAACAAGTCCAAAGCCTCACCAGAACCGTCACAACATTGGAGGCGAGACACAGACAGCGGAATGTCCGCCTTAGGGGCATCACAGAAACAATTGGAGGAGAAGAACTCCTACCATTTGCACAGAAACTCACAGCCAGCATAGGAGTTAAAGGTGGCAAAGATCAAGGAGCCCTACTCACAGCATTCAGAGTCTGAAAAGCAGCGACGGCTCCGAAAGATGCGCCAAGGGACACCATAGTTGTGACCACAGATGTAGCAGTGCGAACGGAGATACTGGCGCGCTCCAGAGAACTTGGCAACATACACCTTGAGGGGCAAAAAGTGGTGATCTATAGAGACATTCCATTCGCGGCACTGATGAAGCGGAAACAGCTTGCACCAACAGCGGGACAGCTCCGAGAAGCAAAAATCCGCTACAGATGGGGAAATGACGGATCCCTGCAAGTTCAGAGAGGAGACGAGCTACTCACCTCAGCGGAAGATGGCACCCAACTACTCCACCAACTGCACCTGCCCTCCAGAGATATGAACCAGACCAATTGTGAGGGATACGAGGGGGAAAGAACCCGAGAACCCGCCCGACGCGAACAAGTGACGACCATGTCAAAAAAGAAACCTACCGGATGATTCCCCGGGACTATACAACCAAATATGAGGGTCACCCCTCCCAACCAGCCACCAACAGATGACTCCTGCCAACGGCTAGTCGTAACTTAGCAACATGAACCAACACCTACCACACCACATTTAGAATGCCCACAGACTTGCACCATACAATACTCACCCATAGGCGCCCTAGGCAACTCACCCAGATGTCACCACAAGGCTCAGTGAGTAAACCGCCTGGACACCCTCCCCTCAGTTTTCGCTTAAGGCCATAGACTGTAAATAAAAATCAATCAATAAGTGCACAATATGGAGTTCAACAAAATCTCAAGTGAAGATCAAACACCTTGAGTGGTATCCCCTAAACCACATCTACAAGATACATAGATACATAGAAACATTGAAAAACATAAAAAAACATACATACATCCAATATTGGGAGCACTGGATGACCAGTATTGTTGCAAAGAGAAGAAGAAATCAAGTTCCTAGTGGAAATGAGGATTGGGAATCCTGGAATTGTCCACAAGTGCTTACCATCTGAGTCATATGTAGTTTATATTGCACTATTGGTGTTCTGTATTTATATTATTGCAGATTCCTTCTGAACGTGTATACAGAAAGCTCCACCTTATGTATGTATGTTTTTCTATAGACTGTAAATACCCTGACTCACCACTGGCCGACTATCCAAACGCTCATGACACCTGAAGCACGAGACTCACCAACCCAGGACCAGCCCACACATACCCACAGGGCCGAACAACACAGACTCCATTGATATGACATACCCCAAACCATGGCCTAAGACAAGATGAGGCATTTGTTTAACCAGTATAACCAATGTTGATCCATAGACATGCTAACCAGTTATGTACATACTATGAATAAGATGTATTTTGTGTGTGAAATACCCAATAAAATACAAAAAAAAATTTTTTTTATCTATTGCCAAGTGATAATGGGCTGGCTTACCCTTCAAATGACTGGTCAGTTTTGAGTGTCCAAAAGGCCAGGCAGGTACAAGTAATTAATTAAACCGTGCTATTCTCCTGTCCATGGTCACAAAACTTCTACTACAAAATATGAAAAGGAACTTAACACTGTAAAAACTGCAAACATGAAGCTTATCAGTTATACCATAATAATACCTAATGTACTCCAGTGGGCCATGGACCCTTATACAGGGTAAGGATTTTCCAATTTACCTTATGCCAGTAAAGAGTAATTTAACTCTTACTGACACCTCTGAAAGGGACTGTTAAACCTTTCCTTGCCAGTTGGGTACTTAAACCCATTCTGCTCTCTCCTTGGTAGTTAATGGACTTTAACCCATACTGACCACCAGCGTGACCTTATTCACACCTTAAAATACCATATACACTATTTACCTTAATCCACAGAGAGGGTAACTATTATAAAAAATATCTACTCACCCTCTGTGTAGAGCCCATCCACTGCCACCAAATAGTTGGTATCATTTTACACTGCTGGGCAAAGTGTACTATGCACCTTTTGTACCGAACGTTCGGGGAGAGCCTTTCAGTGATACACAGACAGCGTGTTTCAATTTGGGCTACTACCAGTGTATTAATGGTAAGGCAAATATATTTATAGACAGAAGTTACAGCAAAAGTAACATAATATAAATACACAAGAACGGCTCAAAAACGGGGAGGATAATTAATGTATACAAATAACACAATATCACTAGGAAATAAAGTGGGCTGCTTCACAACTAATATGAGCAACTGTTAAAGATGAAAGATCAACAATAAGATAGTGTGAGCGCTCCAATAATAAAAAACGAGATAAGTATAGGTATAATAATGTCCACCACTTCAGCAATGAATATGTTAACTAGAATCTCAGCCCTAATTAGCCAGACAAAACATGAAAACACACTCTTTTTGGCTTAAAAACACATATGGTGCCTATTTATTAGAAACAAAAAAATAAAAAAAAACGAGAAAACACCTCGGGCGGGTTTTTGAGCTCCTTGTCCCGTCTTCCTTTTATTTTACTAACTTTTGTTTGCTTTAATGTTTTAATTGTCTGGTACTGATCAGCTCCAGCGGAGGGGCCCCTCACTGGAGCTGGATTTATGACTCTTTGGGGGAAACCCTTATTTTTACAAGGTGCTTGTGTGAATTATTACATTTGTATAACCGGTTTGCCATGTTTTTTTTTTCCATTATGTGGAAAGGCTAGTTAGTGACACTCTAGCCTGCTAAATTGTATCGGGCAGCTGTCAGGGATTTTATTTTTTGCTGGTTTACACTTAGCCACTTTGTATTCATTGCTTTGTGTGTTTTCTTGTTTTTAATTTTTTTGTTTCTAATAAATAGGCACTGTATGTGTTTTTAAGCCAAAAAGAGTGTGTTTTCCTGTTTTGTCTGGCTAATTAGGGCTGAGATTCTAGTTAACATGTTCATTGCTAAAATGGTGGACATTATTATACTTATACTTAACTAGTTGTTTAGCAAAAGTAACGTGACAAAATTACATCAACTAAACACAATATTGCTTATTCAGCAACCAACAACATGTATTTCGGTAACCAGAGGTTAAAAGGTTATTTCTTTGATGATCTGCAAGAGGTTTTTCTTGTAAGCTGACATTTAACAATTGTTATTTCTAATAATATAGTTTTGTCCATTTACAGTAGTCATGTACTTCATTTTTAACCCTTTCAATGATGTTTCAAGGGTATATATTCTCTCTTTATGAAGTAAAAAAAAAATAATCTCCCTGAAACAATATGGGGAGACATGAGTTAGTACAAGGGTTAAGAATAGTGATGTCCCGAACGGTTCGCCACGGTTCACCACGAACGGTTCGCCGCGGACTCCAGTCAGCAGACACATTCCAGCCAATCAGCAGCAGACCCTCCCTCCCAGACCCTCCCACCTCCTGGACAGCTCACTAAGAATGCAGCTTCAAAATGGATGCTGTCCAGGAGGTGGGAGGGTCTGGGAGGAAGGGTCTGCTGCTGATTGGCTGGAATGTGTCTGCTGACTGGAGTCCGCGGCGAACCGTTCTCGGCGATCCGTGGCGAACCGTTTGCAAACAGTTCGCAAACCGTTCGGCGAACCGTTCGGGACATCACTAGTTAAGAATAAAAAGAAATAAGGATATGAAAAAAAGTAATAACTGAAGAGTAGGAGCAGTGCAAGCTGGTGGAAATTAAGGTTGTTGGTAAGGTGATATAAAGGTGAAAGAAAGTAAGCAATGACCGGTAAGAGAGATACTTGCATTTTTATACAAAGAGACAATTACATATAACAAGAAAAACAAAATATCACATGGAAAAAAAATAAAGGAAATGTCATTTTTGTTTTTTGTTTGTTTTTTTTGGGATTCCGAACAGATAAATAAGTCTATATTGAGTATATTTTCATGAAGACATATATTTAAAATTCTTTTCTACTTTGACCATTTTTGAATTATTTTGATTGTAAATAGATTTGTTTCTCCAGGTGAAATAATACACAAATTGTTGTGGTCATTGTGCGATTGCAGAATAATGAATCACGTCCTTCTTGCCCTTTCTTTTTTCACGTTAAAAACATAACACATTTTTCACGTACATTTTTTCCATTTTGTAAGACATATTAAGTCATAAAAAATGTTTTGTTTTCAGAATCTTTATGTAATCACTCACATTTTACGATACATATATTTGACTTTAGCATCTTTCTATTTATTTAGAAAATTTGTATAATAAATAAGAGCTATTTTTTAAACTAGACTGACATTTTTTTTAGCTTACATGGCATGCATGAATATTATGTCAGTATGTACAATTGGTTTGGGCACTATTATGATTTTAAGCTATAATTCAGTGCATTTATATGATTTTATATTAATCTTAAACATTGTTTTAGGATTGTACTTATTCTTTTTTTTTACTTAATGAAAGTTTTCTACACAAAAAAACGCAGTAATTGTTACCACATTGGTTGACATCCAAGCAGTCAATCACAGCACTCTGTTAGAATATTAAAGGAGGTCTATAGGGTCAGGAACACAAACATCAGGAACACTAACCCCTATAGGGTTAAAACCACCATCTAGCCCCTCTAGACCCCTCATGCCTCCCTAAATATAGCAAATTCTTACTTGTATTCATCCCCGAAGCTGTAGCTCTGCATGCTGTTTGCCTCAGAAAAAAAAGTCTGCTGACATCAGCAGAATGGTAGCCTGATCCAATGCTTCCCCATAGGATTGTCTGATACTGACAATGAGGCAGATCAAGGGCAGAGCCAGCACAATTCAAACACAGCCCTAACCAATCAGCATCTCCTCATAGAGATTAATTGAATAAATGCATCTCTATATGAGGGAAGTTCAGTGTCTGCATGCAGAGGGAGGAAACACTGAATGTTTGGATGCATTTTAGGAAGCCATGACCCAGGAAGGATCTCTAACAGTCATCTAAGGGGTGGCCAGTGAAGTTATCGCTAGGCTGTAATGTAAATGCTGCATTTTCTCTGAAAAGACAGTGTTTACAGTAAAAAGCCTGAAGGTAATGACTCTACTCACCAGAACAAAATCAATAAGTTGTAGTTGTTCTGGTGACTATAGTGTCCCTTTAAAGGCAGATCATTCTGTGCAAAGCCCTACAGCCAGTCGTGGTTGAGGGTGAAGGTGGAATAATTTATTTGCAAATTTTTTTAAAATTATTTTTGTGGCTCAGTGGGTTTTTTCTAACTCAATTTTTTATTGGAGTTTCAGAACAGTACAAAATATAATTTCAGCATTACTCAATAAACATACTGCAGTTGTCATATATCATACATACACTGAGCCTCAGTCATATTGTATCTACAGAGGAAGCATTAGCGTAATACAGGTTTTCAAATAATTTATTCCAGTTATTATATCAGGTCTAATAATGTGTAGTAACAAGTGGAAATGGTTCCCTCTACTTTAGGTAGTTTTTATATCATTAATTCCACCTGAGCCAGATCCCTATTTTTCTCTTTGGTTGTTTTTTCAATGTTTATATATAATGTTTCATTTGTAAGTATTTAAAGAACTCCCTATGGGTTATTTCCATTGTTTCCATGAGGGATTCAAAGTGAACAATTGATTGTTTATCAAAGAGGTGTCCTATTGTGGAAATATCTTTCATCACCCTCTGGGAAAGATCTAGATTTGGAATCAACTTGTGGAATGATTGTATGGGGACAATTTTGGACAGCGGGCTCCAAGAAGAGAACCATGTCACTACTGTGCATCATACAGACCAAGAGTGGTTTGTGGATTGGATGGGTAAGAAATCATCCGTATGTTAGATGTTTGACCAAACGTAATGGAATAATCTCTCCAGGTGGAGATGCAATTCTTCCATATCTATCCAGAGATAGGACCCCTTAGGGGCAAGAAATAGAATGGCTTGAGCTAGGTCTGATGCTCTATAATATCGCAGTAAGTTCAGTAGAACCTGCGTCCCCCACTCCCCCTCCAAGTTTGTGTCTTCAGAGTGTAGGCAACTCTATGCATTGTCTCTTAAATATGTGTATGTACTGATTGAATTGCCTTTGGATATTTCTCAGTTAGAAGAGAGGGAAAAGGGATGTCTTAAACAAATATAACAATTGTGGCAATAACATCATTTTGATGGCTGCATTGCGGCCCAGCTATGAAATGTCATAGCTCTTCAAGTTTAACATAATGGTGTGGATTCACTTCCAAATTCTTGTCCAATTCAAGGCGGGAATTGAGAATACATTGAGACATATATTGATATCCAGGTAGTGTGTTGTAGGTGACTTGCAGTCAAACTTATATGAATGCCACAAGGTGTTTTTCATACAGAGGGCTAGTTTTTTTGCCTGCTGTATTTTAGCATAAGAATACTGCAGTGTACCTAGCAAGGATATCAGGTAATTTCATAGGGGAGTTTAACCCCTTAAGGACACATGACATGTGTGACATGTCATGATTCCCTTTTATTCCAGAAGTTTGGTCCTTAAGGGGTTAATGGACTGCCAAAAATAAACATAATTTCCTCCACTAATAACACAGGTTCCTGCTGTGTCATGTTCCAAACTGCTATGACTTTTACTGCTTGCTCATCCCTAATAGTACATGCTAGGGGTCCTAGGGTAGGCACATAGAGTAATGATGAAAGGGGACAGCCCTGGCGAGTTCTGTTGGTAATTGTGAAAGGCATCCCATGACAAAGCCAGTCTGATCCCCTCCAATCAGATGGGGAAGGCTTTGTGTTAACCTGTTTAAAAATATTTTTGTGTGCAATTTGCAATCTACGTTTACTAGGGCTATAGGTCTCAAATTTAGCACACCAGGAAAGCCACACCAGGCTTTCCTGGTTTTGGTTGTGCTACTATAAAGGCTGATAACATTTCAGGGATAACTGGTTCCCCTGGCATAAAATTTGAGAAGAGGAAGTTAAGGTGCAGTAACAAAATGTGGCTACCCTTCTGGTCCTGGGATTTCCACATAGGCATAAATGATAATGCTTTCTGTATTTATTCTTCTGCTATGGGCTCCAATAAAGTAGCCCATTGTTCAGCCATCGGGAATGGTAACTTTACAGAATTAACAATATTGGTAATCCTAGGCATCCTGTGTTGAATAGTAGCTATCTTGACTCTGTGGTTATATTACAACTTATATAATTGGACACAGATTGCAATTTTTATGAGGCATATAGCTTGTTTCCCTGTTAATTTAATAATTAATTAATTAATTAATTACTTAATTGTCATTTAAGCTTGTCTGCTAGAAACTTTTACACTTTATTGCCATTAGTATGAAAGAGCGATTCAACATGTCTGAGCATATGCTCTGTCTTGAGTAACTGCATTTGGGAGATTTGCAATTTAACCTTAGAGAGTTATTTAGCTATCAACTCTGAGGGGTGTTGTTTATGTTTGGTTGACACATCTGCTATGTTGGATTGGCCCATTGAATACATTAAGTTTTCCTTGCTGGGATGACAAGTTGCATGAATTGACTTTTGCATTAGGTGAAGCATATGATATAAATTGGCTTCTAATGACAGCCTTATGATGAGTCATCCATAGTGTGTCCATACTGTCACCACTGTGTGTGTTATGTGTAAAATATTGCTGCAATGTATCAGATACAAAAGTACATGTATCTTCCAATTGAAGACGGTGTTCATTAATTTGCCATCTATTACATTTTGAAATAGGGGAGTCTAGTTTGAAAGTCAATACGACTGGGCCATGGACCAACAAAGAGATCAGTCCATAGCTTACATCAGTAAGCATAGGCAAAAAAAATCACTAGAGTATAGAAAGATATCAATGCATGAGTATAAACTATGTACCAATTAGTAGAAGTAATATTCTCAAGCATCATGGTCCAGCACCCTTTAAATATCCCAAAAGTTGTGGTCATGGAGCAGTGATTTAAGGTTGCTGCTTTGTTTCCTAGAAGCGACCCTTCGGGGTCTCATAATAATAGTGGAAGAGGATTCTAATTGTGGATATAGTAACAAATTGAAATCACTGCACATGCAAGGGTTACCAGATTCATCATGTTTTCAGGTACAATTATAATTTTGTCATGAAAATGCATGAAAATCACTACTACATCACTACTTTTCCCTGTTTTTATTGTTCTAGGTTGGTTAGGAGTTGTCTTTGGAAATTGGATCACTTTAAGAGCTGTATATGTTTACTATGGAGAGATATACTACATTAAAGGATCTGACTAATATATTGAAGTGTCCCCTAGGGTCATTTATGGACAAAGTTATGGTGCTTTTTATAGATTAATGTAATATTGTAGAAGTACAACATTTTGTTTTCCTTTGGAGTGAGTGGAATATCAAGGTATAGTGTTTAATGCATAAAGTGGGGCAACCTTATCTTTAGCAAAGTGGGTCTCTTGTAAAACATTACGTGGGCATCCACCTTTTTGACCTCCTCCTACAATAGCCACCTCTTATGTGGGTTATTTAAACCCATTGCCTTCATAAATAGTATTTTTGTCTCCAGTTATCAAGTATGGAGATTTCTCCACATTGCCCTGCAGGGCATAGTCATGACCACAAATAAAGGATAATTAGCCTTTGTATTTACATTATTTATCCAGATATCGGATGAGCTACTGTTCTTACAATTTAACACATTGTTTCATTTTATTTTTTATTACCCTTAAACTTAAACTGATGTCAAATTATTTCTCTTTGGTATTTGCAGTAAAAGGGCAGTACATTGGTTTATCTGTTTTGTTTACAATGTACCAACAATAGCAATAATAGACTATGCAAACAAAAAAGGTAAAAACTATATTGTCAAGGAAGTATCTTTTTTTTATTGACTGTTTTTAATGCAGCAAACCTGTTTTTCACATTTTGGCAGGAATATAAAATATTCATCAAATTTATATGAAACTGCATTTCTGTGTTTCTACATTTCTGAGAGGTGTATTGTTGCTATAACAACCAATAAACACCTGCTTGTAGTTTTCATCAAGGAAAAAAAGAGAAAATATAGGGTTTGCTTCTTTTTAAAAAAACTTGTTTTATTCTTCAATCAGTTTAGATCACGTAAAGCATGTAAAATTTGTTAGATAAATAATGAATTCAAAAAGATTAGTTCTCTAAGGTCAACATTTGGAAATCGAATATATCACTAGAGTTTATTCCTCAACGAACATGAAAAAAAGTCTTGAATCTTTCATTTATTGACTGCCTTAGACACATATAGATATATTTATAGCAATTTCACTTATAGAGAAATAAGATGAAGTATTCCAGGAGCTAGTCAAATTACAAATGAAATAAATTAGTAATATCAGCATTCAACACAAGAATGAATCATATATATATATATATATATATATATATATATATATATATGTATTTATATTCAGGAAAAGATTCATACATAATAGGTTCAGAATGAGTCCATATGAAAATTCCTGGTATTAAAAAATTGATAACTAAAAGTACAGAATATACAAAGTATAATAAGATGACAATATCAGTCCAATAGTCCACAGAATGTAGCAAAGGAAAAATCACACTAAGCTGTGCATATTAGGGATGCACGGTTGTGGAGCCATATTGCAAATATGCTATAATTCACTAACTCTCAGTAAATATTAAAAGAAAAAAATGAAAGAAACAGCAAAAAGTCCAAAGAAAGAAAAAAGGTACCTAGAATAACTGCTTGCTGATAGAAAATATATAGAAAATAAAGAAAAAATAAAGGAGGGAAATGCTTCTTAAAAATACATGACTAAAATAAGTTCACACACAAAAAGGTAAATGAAAGAAATGCAATAGTACCAACAGTTGCTCGAGATCACTTGTATAGATGCCTCCTTCAGCGGTTCTCAAGGTGGATGTGGCTTGTTGGAGCTGCAGTCCTCGTTGTGGAATGTCTGCTGGTGAAGTTGGCATGTGGTTCACCCAGCGTTCCACCCGAAGCCTCACTCCCATTTGAATTCCACCCATGGTAGAGAGGGACGATCCTCAGTGTCTTTCTGTGTGAAGATCGGCTCATGCATAGCTAACATAGAGCATTGCCATGGTAACTTTCTCCACTTGAAAGTGGATCTCGGTTGTGAATAGCACTGAGTCTCAGTGCTAACCTGCCTTATGCGTTTCGTGAGGAATAGCCTCACTTAATCAGAGGCTGCAATAATTGACTATAGCAATAAAAGATAATTAGATGTCTGAATTGATACAAAACAGCTTTTACAAATCACATTTTGTCAGGTAGACATTATACAGTTGATACTATAACAGATCTCTTAAGAAGCATAAACCAAAGAACAGAAAGAGAAATAAAAAATAATACAAACTATAAGGAAGAGACAAGAATAGTAGAAGAAGAAGAATACAATAAATTAGTTATATAAATAAAGATAAAAATAAATAAAGCATAAATAAATGGAGATAAAAATAAAGTACTGCACTGCGAATAGATAAAATAAAAAAATATATATATATAAAAAAAAATTGTGGAAACTGGGAATACGTGTAAAATAGACATCTAGCAAGATGTTAAATATTGAACAACTAGAGATAAAAAATAAGATAAATAACGATAAGCTAAAAATAGAAATAACCTCTAGCAGGGGACAGAAAAGTAACTCCTAAGACAAGGAGCATTCTGTGAGCAATCACATTGAGTGATAATAAAATAGATGTACTATGGAGATAAAGTCAAAATAAGTATGGAGAGGCAAATCAAAATAAAATTAAAATTAAAATAACTGAATAGAATAATTTAGTAAATTGGGTAGTCCCAAGATGTAGAAATACCAGTAGGATATGGCAAGTCATCAGAATATAAAAATAGAAAGTAAAAGTTATAAAATGTTTGTTAAAAAATCAAACAAAAAATGCAGAATCTAAACAAAGCAAAAGTAAGCCTAAATAATTTTAAAAGGGAGAATTATAGTGTATAATTAAAAAGATAGACTGAATAAAATTAAATAAAATAAAAAATAGGTGAAATAAATGGCCCAGTATAATCTTATATAAAATTTCACAGTAAAATACCAAATACAGGGCTTATCTCTACTCACTGATCCACAGGGGAGCAGCTACAGAGAGTCCAGACAGCAACTCCCACCATGCAGAGACAGCCTACAGCTCAGAAAACTTTTCTCTGTCCCACGCTATATACCAGGAGCTTCTGCCTGCTGGCAAGAAGGGTTCTCTTTGTATCACCACAACCACTGCATCTGGCTGCTTTGTATATGGAGGGATTTTCCTTGGCACAGTTGCAACAGCAGGAATGCTCGCTGGTTTTGGTACAACATTGTCCCTTGCAAAGAAGAAAAGCCCCTCTTGGTTTAATAAGGGTGTTACTGCAACAGCTGCCTTGCCGGAAAGTGGTTCATCTCTTGCCCTGAGTGCTTTAGGCTGGGGTTCACTTTATGCCCGGTGTGGAGTTGGACTGATCAGTTTTGCTGTAGGGAAGGTACTCGGAGTTCATAGTCTCAAAGAATTTCATGAAAAAATGCAATCCATATTTCCACTTGTGCCAAAAAAAACAAGAGCAGAAATCCAATTCTGAATCCTTCAGTTTTGAAGACCTTTTGAAGTCCAAGTGAAGACAAAGCAAAGATGCACCACCTAGAAATAGCATCTGATAGGATGTACATACAGTGAAGATGGAGGTAGATACGTGACCACAAGCAATGTTTGAAATGTACGTGAAAAGCAGGAAAAAGTTCAGATTTTGGAGGTATTGGTGAACTTTCTCAAGAAAACTACATACCGCCAGCATGCAAATTAAACCATATCAACTTCTGCAGTCACAAGTCGCAATCTATGTGCAAAGGACCTGTCGCTATAGAGTTGCTAGTTCCATATTTGATATAGGGAAACCTATGCAACACACACTTAGGGGCTCTATAGGCTAAAATAATGCCCGTTTATGCATGTTTACATGCATCCTTTAATCAACTTCTGGTAAGGCAACAGTATGCTATAATACTAATGGGATGATCTATTATTTAAAGATTATTTTTTGTTTTGTGCAGTAACTGTCCAAATATTATGTTAACCTACACATGAAATTAAATATTCTATTTTCTAAACCTCGAGTTACAGTTTGTTTGAAAAATGATATGGGTGAAATTTCCTCATGGTAACTAAATCTGTAATTTAGGATGATTTAATAAATATATTTGATTAAAAAAAAATAATACCAAATACAGAAAAAATTAAAAGTGTGGAGAGGCCTATAAATAGTATAATAATATGGGAAATAAATGAATACTCATAAACAGAAAAAAAGCATCATTAAAATGCATTGAGTTCAAAATCAACATTTAGGCCTCTTGGGGCTAAAGTATTGAGAGTGTAGATCCATCTAGCTTCTGCTTGGTCAAGAATTCAATTAAGATCTCTCCCTCTCCAGTGTACTTTTACTTTTTCGATAGGTAAAAATTTCAAACCACCTGTATCTCTTCCGTGAACATTAAAGTGTTTTGATAGATTATGCATGGGCAATCCTTTTTTGATGTTTCTTATGTATTCTGACACCCTTATCTTCAGGGATCTTTTAGTTCTCCCTATATATTGTGTTAGACAAGGGCATGTGAGTAAATAAATTACCCCTGTTGTATTGCAGTCCATTTCAGATTTCACTCTGTATTCTTTCTGGATGTCTAAAGAAAGAAAAATATTTTGAATATGATTATTGCTACAGCCTATGCATTTTTTGCATCTTGTAAAACCTTTAGTCGACATTTTTGTAGTGTCACGGAAGTGATTCCTAGAGCTGTCAGTTGGTGCCAGCATAAGTTTTCACTCTTGACATATTGTGGATAAAAAGTGGAGGTGGGGTGCAAATCCGTAAGTTCATAGCCTTCTGTAGTTACTTGAATATTCAGTGTTTTTAGTGATTTTACGGATAAATTTGTGTAAGTCTAAAAATATATTAAAATCAAAGTTCTTAGAGGTAGGTGTAAATTTAAGACCTTTCTTTTAAAAGTGATAATTCTCCGTCATTTAAAATCTTGTCTGATAAATTAAATATTAATATTTCTTCCTTTTCAGTTGTGTTGTGTCTTCTTGATTTTCTAGTTCTTCTGTGATTTCTCCTAGTATTCTCTTTATTCTCGACATGGGTGTTCTGAAGTCCTCAATTGTGAATCTTCTTGGGGGTACTCTCCTCTTTTTATCTAAAAAATCATTTTCTCTAATGGTTTGGGTGTTAGATGCACTCGATCATCGATCAGGGGATCTGTATTCTTCTTCCAAAGGATTTTGTTGTGGATGGGAAAGAGGGATATCAGAATATGGTAATATCAATTCTTGATTCCTTAGGCCTGGTTCATCTGTAGGTGTCATAGATGGTCTTTCCCTTGATGGTATTGCAGGGCGAGAAGTGCATGTGGAGCCAGGATGGTGTTCATGATGTTTTGGATTCTGAATTGATTGTGAATGTCTTGATGGCTCTCGAGGTTTAGTTCTTGAAATCTTAGATTGATGTTTGGGGGAAATGGGAGACAGATGTCTTGTTGAAATGGGTTTGATATTGGACTTTCTGTGTTGTGAGTAGTGATAGGATTATCTTTCAGGGGTCCTCCTATTACTTTTTTTAAAAAAAGGTCTTAAATTTGCACCTACCTCTAAGAACTCTGATTTTAATATATTTATAGACTTATAAAAACAGAAGGCTATGAACATACAGATTTGCACCCTACCTCCACTTTTTATCCACAATATGTCAAGAGTGAACCAATCAGGGTCTTTGAAAAAAATGGTGGAAGCCGATTTCAGGAAACTCAATGGCAACAAACAACTAAAGAGTGACAATCTGACTCATGCTTTTTATATATATGTATTGATTTTATCTATTCGCAGTGCAGTACTTTATTTTTATCTTTATTTATATACCTAATTTATTATATTCTTCTATTCTACTATTTTTTTCTCTTCCTTATAGTTTTTATTATTTTATTTCTATTTCTGTTCTTTGGCTTATGCTTTTTAGGGGTTTGCTACAGTATCAACTGTATAATGCCTATCTGACAAAATGTGATTTGTAACAGCTGTTTTGTATCAATTCAGACATAAGTATTTTTTATTGAAATTGTCAATTATTGTAGCCTCTGATGAAGTGATGCTATTCCTCACGAAATGCGTAAAGCAGGTTAGCACACTGAGACTCAGTGCTATTCACAATCGAGATCCACTTTCAAGTGGAGAAAGTTACCACGGCAACACTCTATGTACTCTATGCACAAGCCGATCTTCACATAGAAAGACACTGAGGATCATCCTTTTTTACCATCGGTGGAATTCAAATGGGAGTGAGGCTTCGCGTGGAACGCTGTGTGAACTGCACACCGACTTCACCGATAGACATTCCACAATGAGGACTGCAGCTCCCACAAGTCACATCCACCATGAGAGCCACTAAAGGAATCATCTGTGCATGTGATCTCGAGCAACTGTTGGTACTATTAAATTTCTTTCATTTATCTTTTGTGTGAACTTATTTTAGTAACTGTAAATTTCATTAAAGATGTGGATTTCGTGGATTTAAAGACATTTCCCTCCTTTATTTTTTATTTATTTTTTATATATTTTCTATCAGCAAGCAGTTATTCTAGGTACCGTGTTGCTTCTTTTTTTCTTTCTTTGGACTTTTTGCTGTTTCTTTCATTTTTTTTCTTTTTATATTTACAGAGTCAGTGAATTATAGCGTATTTGCAATAGGGGTCCACAACTGTGCATCTCTTATATGCACAGCTTAGTGTGATTTTCCCTTTGCCACATTCTGTGGACTATTGTACTGATATTGTCATCTTATTATACTTTGTATATTCTGTACTTTTAGTTATCAATTTTTTAATACCAGGACTTTTCATATAGACTCATTCTGAACCTATTATTTATGAATCTTTCCCGAAAAAAAAAATATATATATTTATCGGCGTATAACACGCACCGGCGTATAACACGCACCTCATTTTAAGAAGGAAATTTCAGGGGAAAAAAACTTAAAGGACCACTATAGTGCCAGGAAAACATACTCATTTTCCTGGCACTATAGTGCCCTGAGGGTGCCCCCACCCTCAGGGACCCCCTCCCGCTGGGCTCTGGAGAGAGGAAGGGGTTAAACACTTACCTTTCTCCAGCGCCGGGCGGGGAGCTGTACTCCTCCTCTCCTCCTTGCTCGCAACGTCATCGGCTGAATGCGCATGCGCGGCAGGAGCCGCGCGCGCATTCAGCTGGTCGCATAGAAAAGCATTTACAATGCTTTCCTATGGACGCTTGCGTGCTTTCACTGTGATTTTCACAGTGAGAAGCACGCAAGCGCCTCTAGCGGCTGTCAATGAGACAGCCACTAGAGGCTCTGGAGGCTGGATTAACCCTCAGTATAAACATAGCAGTTTCTGTGAAACTGCTATGTTTATAAAAAAAGGGTTAATCATAGAGGGACCTGGCACCCAGACCACTTCATTAAGCTGAA